GAACATAAAGAGCCAGAAGACACTCCTCCACAGAAGCTAGAAGGCAAGAGAATCCAGAAAATTGAAGATAATGTAAGAAACCTCTGGGACAACTTCAAGCGAACCAACATCAGAATTATGGGGGTCCCAGAAGATGAGAGAGAGCAAGGTATCGAAAACATACTGAAAGAAACAGAGACAGAAAACTTCCCCCACCTGGTGAAAGAATTAGACTTACAATTCCAGGAAGCGCACAGAACTCCAAACAAAAGGAATCCAAAGAAGACCACACCAAGACAAATCATAATTAAAATTCCAAGAGCAAAAGACAAAGAGAGAATATTAAAAGAAGCAAGAGCAAAGAAGATAGTTACCTATAAAGGAGCACCTTACGATTGTCAGCTGATTTCTCAACAAAAACCATGCAGGCCAGACGGGAATGGCAAGAAATATTCAAGGTGATGAATAGTAAGAATCTACAGCCAAAGATAATCTATCCAGCAAAGCTATCACTCAGAATCGAAGGTCAGATAAAGAGCTTCACTAATAAAAAAAAGTCTAAAGGAGTTCATCACCGCCAAACCAGAATTATATGAATTGCTGAAGGGGGTTCTTTAGGAAGAGGAAAAAGATAAAGATAAAAATTATGAACAACAAATATGTAACTATCAACAAGTGAAGCTAAAAACCAAGGGAATTAAAAAAAAATCTGATAAACAATATTAACTGTTGAATATAATAGAATCAGAGGTATGGAAAGGGAGTGAACTGATGATTCTTGGGGAAAAGGGGAGAGGGGGATGTGGAAAGAGACTGAACATAAACTGTGCACCTATGGATGAGGACAATAGGGAGTCGGGAAAGGGCAGAGGGTGGGGTGGGAACCTGGTGGAGGAGAGCAATGGTGGGCGGGGGGGAGGGGGAAGAGGAACATTTGTAATATGAACAATAAAAATTTATTTAAAAAATAAAAATAATAAAAATAATAAATCATTTTGTTTTATTTAACTTAAGTAATCTTTTTCTAGATAAGTTTGCTTTATTTTTAAGGCTTTCTCATGTAAGAAGTAAGCAAAGTAAGACATATTTACTTGTACTCTCAGATTCCTTAATGTAAGTAAACATGAATATAATATTCTGAACTTAAGCTCTCCAAAAATATTTTGATTATATGTAAAATGCATTATTTAAATTACTTATGCTATTTTATATAGTTGTGTGGTTATGCTGTGCACTTCACAGATTATGCTCTTTTCTTTTTTTTTTTTTAAATACTAGATCAAGAAGTCTAACCCAATGTTGCTTTATCACTTTAAAAACTAGAAGACAACTGCAACTTGGAAAATTACAGACAATACTCAAACTATTATATACTAAGCACCTAAACCTGTGCCGGGCTCCTACAGTAGTACTTAATAAGTGGGAGTTGCTATTATTGTTATAAATATTAGTGTTAAAAAATTGTTCAAGGACCCTTAGGAGAATAAAGGAAAGGTAGTTTTATTTTTGTTTCCTAGTTCTTTTTCTGAGATCTCACCTTCACTTTTCATTACGTTCTGTATATATTTAACATATTCATTTTTATTATTATACAGCAGATATGCTCACAATTCTGTTTATTGTAACGAGAGTATAGTGTCTCATAAAAAAAAAAAAAGTTGCATGTTTAATGTTAAAGATAACCAAAGTACCTAAAGATTTGGAAGGTGTGACTGCAGTACAAATGGCGATACTCCTCGGGTACACATCAAGAACAGAGCTGCGGACAGGAGGGTTATATTTGCCTCCTCGCCCGTTGGTGCAGGATTGCTCAGCTGTGGTGCCCTCAGAAGTAGCCTGGAATTCCCTTTCTCCCGCCTCAAGGGCTTACCGCTTTACATTAAAGTTCAGATGGCACCTTCTCCCATGGCTCATCTGTAAACCTAACCTTTATGCCTTCCCTGCAGGTATTTGTTTTCATAAGGATATGTACCAACTCTCATGTGATTAGCGCAAATTTGATTTTGGGAGGACACAGAACTTGCATAACCAAATGTAGACCGCAGTGCTGGGTTCCTCACTAGGATAAGGGATGCACCTGGGGGCTCCCACGCACCGTGAAAGCACGGCCTTTGGGGATGGGTGAGCCCGGATTCAAGGCAGCACCGGTTTCCAGCGGACACAGGCATGGTGACAATGCACCTGGACGTGGCGGGGCTGCCTGGTGGGTAGAAGGCTCCATCAGGGCCCAGGCTCCCGCAGGTGACGGCCCCGCACGGCTGGTCCCCTCGCCCGCACCCGCTGCCCGCAAGCGCCCAGCACCGCCCAAAGACTGGGAGGCTGCGCCTGGGCCTCCGGGGAGCTGGGCGGTGGGGAGTTTGGATTTGGGGGTTCCCTTCAGCCTGCGAGGGAAGACGAGCAGGATTCGGCAAGCTCCCCCATCTCTACAGGCTTCTCTCCGCTCTCCTCTCCATCTCTGCACTTGCAGGCGCACTCTCTGCGCTCCCGGCTCTCACGGAAAGTGAGAGCAAGCATCTGAGTAGGAAGACCCGGTCCCCAGACGCCGCCAGAAAGTCAGAAAGTCACTCAACCCAAGAGCCGGAGAGACAAATCCGTCCCCTGGCGGAAGGACTGAGCCCGGAGTGGGGAGGGAGGAGGGAAAGTGTGGGCCTCTCAGGATACGCTCCAGCTGCAAAGAAGGAGCCTTTCAGATCAGCTGGAAATCTCTCTTCCCCCACCCCCACCCCCACCCAAGCCATTTCCTAATGGAACAGTTCTACTGAGCTGTAATTCACAATTCATAACCTTTTAGCATACCCAGAGTTTAGCATATACAGCTATCACCACCAATTTTAGAACATTTTCATCAACCCAAAGATACCCAAACCCATTAGCAGTCACTTCTCATTCCTCCCTCCCCCGGGCAACAATTTTTTTTTTTTTTTTCAATTTCTATGAATTTACAGGTTTTCTTTGGGGCTGGCTTTGTTCACATAGCATAATGTTTCAAGGTTCACCTCCATTATAACATGTATCAGTACTTCACTCCTTTTTATAACTGAGTGGTATTTCGTTGGATGAATATACATTTTGTTTATTCATTCATCAGTGGAAGGACATTTTGGATGTTTCCATTTTTTGGCTGTTATAAATATGAACGTTTGAGTGCAAGTTTCTGACAAACATATGTTTTCAATTCTCTTGCACATAAACCTAGAAGTGGAATTGTGGAGTCATATAGTAACTCATGTGTTTAACATTGTGAAAAATTGCCAAACTGTTTTTCATGGTTTTCAGAATTTTACAGCAATGAGGGCTCCAGTTTCTCCACATCCTCAACAACATTTCTTAGAGTCTGTCTTCTTATTTTAGCCATCCCAGTGATTGGGAAGTGGTATCTCAATGTGGTTTTGATTTGTTTCCCTACTGCCTAATGACACTGAGCATCTTTGCATGAGCTTACTGACCATTTCTTCTTTGCAGAAATCACTATTCAAATCCTTTGCCTATTTTTTAATGGGTTACTCATCTTTTTTCTTGTTGAGTTGTAAGAATTCTTTATATATTCTGAATACAAATACCTTATCAAATATATAGCTTGTAAATATTTTCTCCCAATCCATGAGTTATCTTTTCATTATCTTGATGGACTCCTTCATGCATAAAAGTTTTTTTATTATTTTGATTAAGTCCAATTTATTTTTTCTTTTGTCACTTTAGCTTTTTCTGTTATATCCCAGAAACTACTGACTAAGCCAAACATTATGCCCACAAGTCAAGCATGTGCCCTGATTGGGAATCGAACCATGATCTCCTGGTTTGTAGGTCAATGCTCAACCACTGACCCATGCTGGCCAGGCAAGTCCTCTATTCTCCTAATATAGTATATTACATTGATTGACTTTCATATGTTGAATAAACCTTGTACAAATCTCAGTTCTAGAATATAATCTTTACTGATGCTGCTGGATTTGGTTTACTAACATTTTGCTAAGGATTTTTGTTTCTATATTCGTGGACATTTTATGTAATAAAAGCTTAATATGCTAAGTGTCTGGCTGTCCAGTTGTCCGTTCAACCAATTAAAGCATAATATGCTAATGATATGCTAAGGCTGCTCAACTGCTCACTATGACATGTACTGACCACCAAGGGGCAGACAGTCAACTGGTCAACCAGTCGCTAGGACGTGCACTGACCACCAGGGGACAGACACTCCGACCAGTTGCTGATGGGTTCCAGCCTATCAGAACTGAGCAATACAAACTGGACACATTCTGGAGCACTCCTGCAGTCCCTCCCAGGCTGGCCAACCTCTCACATCCCTCCCCCATCCCAATCGTGCACTGGTGGGTTCCCTCAGCCTGGCCTGTACCCTCTCACAACCTGGGACCCCTCGTGGGATGTCGGAGAGCTGGTTGTGGCCCAACAGTAGAACAACTGATTGTTATGACCCACACTGAGGAGCTGCTCCCTGGTGGTCAGTGCGCTGCCACAGGGGGAGTGCTGCTCAGCCAGAAGCCGGGCTTGCAGCTGGGGAGCGACCCGGGAGCCTATCCCACCTCTGCAGCAGCGTTAAGGATATCCCCCGCTCAGAGACTGCAAGAGGGTGCAGGCCAGGTTGAGGGCCGCCCCCACTCCCCCCAGTACACGAATTTCATACACCGGGCCTCTAGTAATGAACGTAAACACTGTAGCTTTATTTTTCCCATGTCATGTCTTTTTTGCTCTTCTATTTCTCCATTACTGCTTTGTTATATGTTAAATAGATAGTGCTAGGGTACCATTTAAAGTCATTTAAAGTTTCTTTTATTTATTTCTAAAGTTATTTTCTTGGTGGTTACCCTGGGGATTACAATTACTATCTTAACTCGTAACTACAGATTTTGTTTTGCCTCAACTATCTTCTTGCAATTTAAATAGTCTAGTCAACAATAAGTCCAGAAAAATGAAAAGGAGCTTTTAAACTCACAAACACTGTTTAGGTAAACGCTGGGAGGTTGCTATGATAACAAGTTCCTGCCTCTGGCATGAACACTTACCTTGTCTAACAGTGCATTCTGCCACAATCTAAAGATACTGAGGTAACTTCTATCCCTGGCACCAAAAGATGTAAAGAAAAACTGAAAATAAAAATAGTAGAATAATTTTAGTGACATTTTAAAAAGGGGGAAAGTATCTGTCGTGAAGCTCTGTTGGCATTTGTTAAGGTCAAAGCAAACTAGTAAGTCACCACTGCCTACTTTATATATTCTTTTTAACTTTTTGTTGCAAAGGATGAAAAACAGGTAATTGGTACATGGACAAGGGTCTTTCACATTGTATCTTACAGTAAATACAATTTTATCAATATTTTCTAGGAAAATGAGCTTGAAATAGGTAGCTATTTATGTTCATGGTAGTTTAACTATGAAAATTAATCTAAACAAATTTATGAAAAAAATTAAAATTTTATTTATTCTAAACTTTGCAAAGAGATGTGATTTGGTAGCCATTTGAGACAAATATAAACAAAAAAATATGAAAAAATACAGTGGATTTCAGAGATAAATTAATTTTTAAGGATCTTAATTTTAAATTATACCATCTTTTGCCTGGCTGACATGGCTCAGTGGTTGAATGTTGACCTATGAACCAGGAGGTCACAATATATATATATTTTAAAATTATATCATCTTTCATAGTCTCAAATATCTAGAAATATCTAATCTGATAATTATACATATAAAACACCCATATTAACAATAAACTTTGCTTTGAATTTTATAGAAGAGAAATGTTTCAATCTATAAGGCTATGTTTGCATATAGCCCCATTTCTTCCTATGCATTTAAGTAGATTTTTGTGGTCACATTTTAATACAGGCTCTTATGAAAACATCTGACAAGTGGCAGCACTAAATATAGTTTCTCAGTGTGTCATCTCTTCTCTTCCCCTAGTTTGTGACTTTTTATGATTAAGTGTTTACTTCCAGGAATGAGAAAGCTCAGTCCTATCTTTGATTTTAATGTGTTTATATTTTTCACACAAAAATATTAAAGTATAATTTTCCAATTAATAAATTGAAATCTTGCTATATAATAGTCTCCATAAAGTAAACTTTTTGTAACAAGAGCATAGCTAGAAACTTTTCCAAATAGGATTATAATGTCACACCCAGAGCCCTAATCAATTTTCCAGATGGGTATAGAAAGATTCTTCATATATCTCCACTAAGAATTGGCAGATATTATAGATGGATAATATAAATGATGGCGGTAAAAGATAATTGCCATCCTAAAACATTATTTAAGTGACTGTGTTTATTTGTATGCTACCCAGACCTCTGTTCACCAGAATCATTTGTTTGTATTAATTGCTATTATGCATAAAAAACAATTATAGAATTATTATTGTATTAGAAATAATAAGGATGTTTTGCTAATGCTTAATCTATCTACTTCTTATAATGAAGAAATGATAAAAATGGAATAAAGTTCTCTTTAAACTATAAAATAATCTAACCATCAATAAGTAACTATACAGAAATCTAGCATGAAATTCAGTGTATCTTGATTACTAATAGATATCCATAATCCTAAGAAGAATTGCTTATATGCCTAACACTGATGGTTAGCATGAGGCAGATTTCCTCCACTTTATGTAATAAGGCAAAGGCAGAAAAGTTTTTCACCTTTTCATTGTCGGTAGCGATCTGGATAGCATTCGGGATGAGTCGAGCAGTTTTCTCCTTGGTGATGAAGGTTATATTCTTTAAAGCAATAGAAATCTAAACACACAAAAGAAAAAAAATTACAAAATGTTTTTTTCATAATATATATAACACAAAACACCAAGTATTGCATCAATCTAATCCAGACTAGAAAAACCTAAAGGAGTTCATATTAATTGCATGATTGTTTTCTCTGAGAAAAACAGAGTCAGCAGTCAGACATTCTTCCTTTCAGCAATTTCCCGCATCAATTCCTATCTCTAACATTAGGATAAAGTGTGAAAAGACATGTGGGTGTTCATGTTCTACACACACACACACACACACACACACACACACACATACAATTCAGACTGTGATAAGACATGATTTTGGCAGTCAAAAGATGTATATTCAAGCTTTTTTCAGTCTGAAATACTTTTTAGGCTATATTATATAGGTACACATGGAGCTCAAAGTATTAAGAAAAATATATTGCACGCTTCTACAACACATATTGTGTTTATGTATATACAATATAGATATGCAAATGTATCAAATTTTACTTTAGAATTTAAAGTACACTACTTTTAGAGGAACTGTACACATTTCTATCTATGCAATTATTTGTATCAACAAATCAAATCAAAGTATGTCTTACTGTAGTTTCCCATTTGAAGATGTTGCTATGGAAACATAGCCAGTTTTCTGAAAGGTATAGTCGTCCCTGAAGCAAAATGTCTTTCTGAAGAGCACAAGCATAATCTACACAAATAAGGAACAGTTTAGTCACAAAAATATGGCAACTTAATAATCTTATACTACTTTAGTACACAGAAAATCATCACTCTTCATTCCTTAGTCCATGCGTTCATTCATTCATTCATTCATTCATTTACTCGTTCGTATTTTTTGTGCACCATACACTAGGGTTACCAGAAAAGGACCTTGCCCTCATAGCATACAGTCTAGAGGGGAAGGCATACAATAAACAAATAAATTTATAAGTATAATCACCACAGTGTAAAGAAAGCTATGAGAGAATATAACAAGGCATACATAGGTATGGGGAGTGGGACAGGTAGAAAGTTAATCAGGAAAAGTTTTCCAGAAAAAGTAATCTTTAAGCTGAGACCCAAAGATCAATGAAAGGTCAGCTTACAAGGGAACAAACAGTATTTACAAAAGTCCCTTGGTAATAAGAAGCACAGCACATTTAAGCTACTATATACAAAGAGAGATCTCGGACCTATAGAAGGCAGGCAAGGGAAGGTGTCTCAGGCCCTGGTAAGCTGTGGACTTGAAGAGAAGCCACTAACAAGTTTTAAGTGGAAGGGGCATAATCAGTTGTATCTTATTAAAAACCACTTTGTTCTCAATGTGAGAGTGGATTCAGATAAATCAGTTGAAAATCCAAGGGAAAACTGACCGTGGCCAAGACCAAAAGATGACAGTATTAAGAGAAAGAAGCAGTTAGATTAAAAAATATTGAGAGGGCCGAAACCGGTTTGGCTCAGTGGATAGAGCATTGGCCTGCAGACTGAAAGGTCCCAGGTTGTTCGATTCCGGTCAAGGGCATGTACCTTAGTTGCAGGCACATCCCCGGTAGGGGGTGTGCAGGAGGCAGCTGGTCGATGTCTCTCTCTCATCGATGTTTCTAGCTCTATATCTCTCTCCTTTCCTCTATGTAAAAAAATCAATAAAATATATTAAATATATATATATTAAGAAATAGTACTGATGGAAACTGGTGATTAATTAGATATTGAACAAAGAGGGAGGGAACAAAGATAACTCCAAAAAGTGTGTGTGTGTGTGTGTGTGTGTGTGTGTGTGTGTGCGTGTGTGTTAGTTTGTTTTTTAAAGTTGATCCTCTCCACACCAGCATTAAAATCCAGAAAAACCAAGAGTACTGGTAAATGTACTGCTTATAACAAGTTAATACCATGATTCTAAGATTAAGATCTGACTCTTTGACTAAATTACCAATTATACAAGATATAAAAGGCTGCTATGAGGAGATTTAGTTAAACTGATAACTTTTTAAACTATATATACAGTGATTAGCAATTTTAAGAAAACTTGTGGAGGTTATAAACACCAAAATATTAAATTTAGTCATTAAAATTCTAAGCAAATACTGAAAATTGAGTAAAGTAATGCACTCTTTCAAAATGCTTCCTTCAGCAAAACAAATTTGAGATGCCACCAAACAAAAAAATCCTAGCAAATAATTAAGCAGATTAAGTTACTCATTTACTAGAATGCATTTCTAAAACAGATTGCACTAAAGATCACCTTGAGGTGTCCTGAAGTTTTTTTCTAGGCCACTGACACATTTTTATTTGTTTAACGCTTCTCAAGTTTCACATCAGAAATATCTGGCAGACTTATTAAAACACAGCTTGCTGGGCCCCTCCCCCAGAGTTTCTGATTAAATGTCTGGGCTGGATGAAGAGATTGCATGTGAAACAAGCTCCCAGATGATGCCACACTCTGAGGACCACTGCATTGCTTTACATTAACTATGTACAAAGCTATCGTAAGCAATTGGACTATTTTAACTAAAGATTATTTAATATTACTGGCTCTGCACACGAATCCATGTGAGAGTAACTCACTGCTGCTTGCTTCAGCTGGCCACCCCGCCTACCGCTACTCATAGCTCTCTGGCCACAGGTAGCTTGCTGCCCTGCCCTCCTGTAACTCTCCACCACAGGTAGCTTGCTGCCCCCCCCCTCCTGCTGATTGGTCATTACATGACAATGTCCCAACCAATTTGCATATTACCCTATTGTAAGTATAGAGTAGAGAGCTGGTGCACAAAATTCGAGCACTTGGGGCAGCGTAGGGGTCCCCTCAACCCAGATTTCAAGAGGGCACAGGCCAAGCTGAGGGACCCCACCAGTGCATGATTGGGGCTGAGAAGGGACACAGGAGGTAGAGCAGGGAATTTCTTTGACCTGAAATATCAGTAGCTAACAGCTGATATATTTAATGGTGAAAGGCTAACGCTTTCTTCCTTAGGTCAGGAATAAGACAAGGATGTCCTTTCTGGACAACATTGTATTGAAGGTTCTAGCCAGGGAAATTAGGGAAGAAAAATAAAGGTAGGATACATCCAGAGTAAAAAATGTAAAAATAAAACTACCTCCATTGTCAGATGACATATACATATACATATACATATACATATATACATATACTTGTATATATATTTCTAAGCAAGCCAATAAATACTTATTAGAACTAATAAGTTCAGCAAGGTTGCAGAATACATTATCAACGCACAAAAATCAATTATATCTCTGTATGCTCACAATGAACAATCAAAAAATACCAACCCCAGTTTATTTACAACTAGAGGCCCGGTGCATGAAATTTGTCCATGGGGCGGGGGGGGGGGGGGGGGAGAGGAGGGACAGTTTGTCCCTCAGTCCAGCCTGCACCCTCTCCAATCTGGGATCTCTCGGGGGATGTCCAACTGCCCATTTAGGCCTGATCCCAATAGTATTGGGCCTAAACGGGCATTTAGACATCCCTCTCACAATCCAGGACTGCTGGCTCCCAACTGCTCACCTGCCTGCCTTCCTAATTGCCCCTAATCATTTCTGCCTGCCAGCCTGATCACCCCCTAACCACTCCCCTGCCAGCCTAATTGATGCCTAACTGCTCCCCTGCTAGCCTGATGGTCACTAACTGCCCTCCTTTGCAGGCCTGGGTCCCCCACAACTTCCCTTCTCTGCAGGCCAAGTCACCCATAACTGCCCTCCCTTGCAGGCCTGGTTCCTCCCAACTGCCCTCCCCTACTGGCCATCTTGTGGCAGCCATCTTGTGTCTACCTGGGGGCAACCATCTTTGACTACATGGGAACAGCCATCTTGAGTATTGGAGTCCCATGCCCTTTTCTCAGAGCATTCTCTTTAGAAAACTTATGAATATTTTCTCAGTTCCTTTGAATTGTGTGTTTCATTGTTGTTGTTGTTGTTATTGTTGTTGTTGTTAATTCTCACCCGAGGACATTTTTTCCATTGATTTTTGAGAGAAAGTGGAAGAAAGGGAGGAAAATGAAGAGAGAAACATTGATGTGAGAGAGACACATTGATTGGTTGCCTCCTCGCCACACCTCAACTGGGGCTTGGAATCAAACCATTAAACGAATAAAGTGGCTCCATAAGCAGTGCTAATAGAAAGAGCTCTACACAAGATTCAAACAGTAAGCACACTATGCTCCCATTTAAGTTCTCTTAGGACTATATTTATATATATTCCCCTGGGAAAATAAACAGAAAATTTCTGAAAATATACATAAGAAATTACTAAAAGTAGTAGTTATCCCCCAGGAAGAAGGTTGGAGTGATCTTCATTGGAAGGGCCACTCACCTTCATTATATGCCCTCTTGTAGAATTCAAACATTTTATTATGAGAATGTATTACTTTTATTTTTTTTAATATTTATTTATTTTTAAATATTTTTATTGATTTTTTACAAAGAGAGGAAGGGAGAGAGAGAGAGAGCTAGAAACGTCGATGAGAGAGAAACATCGACCAGCTGCCTCCTGCACACCCTCTACCGGGAATGTGCCCGCAACCAACGTACATGCCCCTGACCGGAATCGAACCTGGGACCTTTCAGTCCGCAGACCGACGCTCTACCACTGAGCCAAACAGGTTTTGGCGAGAATGTATTACTTTTAAATGTTCTTAAAAGTTGCTTTAGTTCATTGTTACGATTTTTTAAATACTGAGCTTTAAAGTACTTAGCTATCTAGAAATTCAGTTTTGTTGTACTAAGTACTACAAAAGAGTATCAGAAATCTGAAAGTTCAATGGATAAATGGTTAAATAAAATATATACTAAAACTAAAACATAGTTCTATATTTTTATTGTAAAACTAATATCCTGGTGCATGGATTTGTGCACATTAGAAAGAAATTAATTAGAAGAAATATTTTAATATCGCTATTTGCCCTTTCCCTGTAAAAAAAAGTGCAACCAAATTCAAGATCAACAATGACAGATTGAAACACATATGTATCACAGATGCATGTATCAACTTAGCCTTTTATACCTGTACTAACAAAAGGATAATATGCTAATTAGACCGGGTCAATCGGACATCCCAACTTCCTTCCTGGACAAAGCCACAGTGGGATCCGAGGCCCTATGGGATTGGGCTTAAGCTGGCAGTTGGACATCCTACGAGGGATCCCAGATTGGAGAGGGTGCAGGCTGGGCTGAGGGATACCTCCTATATGCACGAATTTCATGCACCAGGCCTCTAGTATATAGATAAACTTGCTTAATTAGACCTGCTTTCTGACTTAGCTAAACTTTTTTGAGCCCAGTGAAGAACCCCAACTTCTCTTTCAGGTAATTGTCAGCAACACAGCAGTAAATATCGACACGAAGCAGATTATTATTGTAGATCACGCAGGGAGAAAAAAAGGGTAAAATATTCAACTGTAGCAGTGTTTGACTATATTCTGTGCAGTGAGAAAACCTACAGTCATTTTCAAGGTCCACCATTTCTTACTTCTTTTCAGTGGAGTCAAGTTTCCAAGCTTTCTAAATCTCTGTTTTTCTGGCTAATGAAAAGAAAATAAGATTCCACCAAGTCTCTTGTCTACCTACTCCAGGACTTCTGTGAGGATCAAATGAGATGAGGCACAAGAAAACACTTCACAGACATTTGGTTAAAGTGTGAAATGTTTGTGCCTGGCTATAAAGCAAGTTGTGTTCCTAGGCTGAAGAAACTGCAAGGAGGCCAGTCACTAGGGGGAGGAAGCCAGGCATTGCTATGTGATGTCATTACCTGGCATCCACAGCAACCGTTTCAAGGCTGGGCTGGGCTATGGGCCGCATTTTGCGCCATGGGGTCTTGGCAGCATTAGCTGTGATTTGGTGGAGTGTTGCTCCGGGTTGGTGGTGGGGCCTGTGTCCCACTTGGGGAAAATTGCGTGTTGGTATATTGGTGCCAGGTCCTAGGTGCTGTTTATTTTTAAATGGCCAGTGTGTGTCATGGCAGCTCCTGTGTTGAGCATCTGCCCCCTTGTGGTCAGTGCACATCATAGCTACCAGTCGGATGGATGGACACTTAGCCTTATATATATGTGGATATCTATATTAAGTTTATATTTAAAATAACGGCTCTTTCTCTCCCTGTGCATATATGCACAGAGGAAAAGCTATGTCAGGACACAGTGAGTAGGCGGCCATATGCAAGTCAGGAAGAGAGCTCTCACCAGAAAGTGACCTTGATAGCACCTTAATCTTAGACTTCTAGCCTCCAGAACCAGGTCTTACCCATCCTCTGACAGAGCATTCAGCCTCCAATCTCTTCAACCTTTATTCTGTCTTTTACACTCCTACAAGAATGATCTTGAAAGCTAGCAAAACTGGCACAGCCAGCATGGCTTAGTAGCTGAGCATTAACCTATGAACCAGGAGGTCACGGTCTGATACCAGGTCAGGGCACATGCCCAGGTTGCTCCTCGAACCCCAGTGTGGGGCATGCATGCAAGAGGCAGCCAGTCAATGATTCTCTCTCATCATTGATATTTCTATCTCTTCCTCTCCCTTCCTCTCAGAAATAAAAATAAATAATGCACTTTTGTAAGAAAAGTGACTAAAATCTGTTCCTAAAACATCTATCTGAAATATTACACTAATAATGATATAGCCCCAGAAAAATTTATAAAATTGCTCTACAACCTGTTAAGGAGTTATCTTTTATTTGGGGAAATATAATACATATTGAATATCAAATTTAAATTTTTCTTACAAAACCATTTGAAAGAAGCACCAATAGAAATTGTGGCAAATCATTTCCTTTAGTTCTATTTTCTTAGCCATTATTTAATATATTTATAAGTCAAAGATCATCCCTCCTCAAATTATGACTTAGTTTTACATTGTATAATTATGAATTACATACTGCTTATATTGAAAAACATTCTGTCTAGCACAAAAGCTGGCATTTTCTAGAGTATTGTCACTCATCAGTTCTATTTTGATGAGATAGTAAAGTGGTTTTTTGCAAATTCCTGTCTTTCTTACCTGCTATCAGCTTCTCTGTATCAGGTAGTTGTGTGAACTGTCTTCTATATTCCTCATTCCTGTCTTTATAGGTGGAACTTGAAATCTGTAACAATGAAAAAAATTAAATTTTTGCTTAATTATACTCATTAAAGGAACTGAAATGTAGCATCTCAGAAATAAATTTTAAATGGCATTTAAAATAATATGCTTTTGATGCAACATTCTGTATGTCTTTGTTAGAAAAATCGCATAAATAAACATTTTTTAAAAAACACCAAAAGAAGGTAAAGGAAGTTACCAGCATAATGGAATGAACAGTTTGGCAAATCCTCTCTGCAAAAGCAAATTTATAGCTGGGGAAAAAACTGTCAAAGAACAATCACTTCTGTCCTGGCAGTGTGACTCAGTTGGAGCGTCGCCCATTGAACCAAAGGATTGAGGGTTCAGTTTCCTGGACACACTACCAGGTTGCGTGTTCAATCCCCGGCCAGTCATGCGGGAGGCAATCAAGTGATATTTCTTTTATGTTTCTCTCTCTCTCTCTCTCTCTCTCTCTCTCTCTCTCTCTCTCTCTCTCTCTTTCTTTTATGTTTCTCTCTCTCTCTCTCTCAAAATCAGTGGAAACATATCCCCCAGTGATGATTAAAAAAACAAATCAATCACCTCAAATTCTTGGAAGTTGACCAAATGCATACAATAAGCTGAAAATGTTTGTTCATGAAAATCTACTGAACTTGGAAATACTAGTAGTAGTGGTCTGGGGCACTCTTTCCTTAGCCAGCTCCCATTACTCTTCCTACCCTATAAGTTAAGTCCGTGTGGTAGTTCTCTGAGGGTAGAGAAAACTAGGAGCTTTGCTGAGAAAGTGGACTGAATTGATTCTGAGTGAAAAGCAGAAAACCTAGGCCCAAAAGTGCAAAGGAAAACTCTGAAGCTGTCAAAGTGAATGTAGATTGTATAATAGATCCAGATCCCAGACTACCCACATATTACTGGCTAGACTCATAATAAGCCTCAGGGGAACATAAAAAATTAGGCACACTTGAAAATGGTCTGAACTTTGAATGCTTTCCCCAATTTACACATAAATCTGTCAGCAGGAAAAAACAAAACAAAACACACACAAAAAAAACACCTATTACTGGTTCTATGTATTTGAGCACAATTTTTGACCAATCATTGACTGGTATAAAGGGTGACTCCTTGGAAGTCATCTTTAAATAAAAACAACAATAATAAGTAAGGCATAGACATCTGTTGCCACATGCCACAGGACAAACTGATTTCACAGATACATTCTAGGTAAGTTATTAAACAAAAATCAGCAATGATAAGATTTAGGAGCAGAAAGGATGCAATCAGAATCCAGAGTTGCTACAATATATTATCTAAATTGTACAATTATTTTTTTTAAAAGTATAAAACATACAAAAGAAAACAGAAAAATGTGGTTCATAATAGGAAAAGAAAAAAGCAAGCAATCGGCTCTTTTAGGGTCCCCATATACTCGATTTAGCAGACAAAGAAATCAAAGCAGTTATTATAAATATGTTCAAAGAACTAAAGAGAACCATGCTTAAAGAATTAAAAGAAAGCATGGCAACAATGACTCAACAAGTAGATAATTTCTACAAATAAATATTTAAAATATATTTTTATTGATATGAGAGATGAAGGGAGAGGAGAGAGAGCAACATCAATGATGAGAGAATCATTGATTGGCTGAATCTGGCATGCACCCTACTGGAAATCAAGCCCAGAACCCAGGCCTATGCCCTGACCAGGAATTGAACTGTGACCTCCTGGTTCATAAGTTAACACTCAACCTCTGAGCCACACCAGTCAGGCAATAAAAAATGTTTTAAATTTTTAATTTTTTTAAATAATATGTTTTTATTGATTTCAGAGAGGAATGGAGAGGAGAACGAGATAGAAATAGCAATGTGAGAGAGACACATTAATTGGTTGTCTCCCAACCAGGGCCAGAGATCAAACCAGCAACCCAGGTACAAGCCTTTGCCCAAGAATCAAACTCTCAACCCTTCAGTGCATGGGCCATCACTCCAACCACTTAGCAACACAAGTCTGGGCTATATTTTTAATCAAAATGAATTAAGGGTAAATGGTGAACAACATAGACTGATGAATAAGAATAGACCCAGAGATAAGGAGCCATGGGTCAGACTGTTGGACCTCAAAGGGAGGGTGGGGATAGAAGGGTGGGGATAGAGATCAACCAAAGGACTTGTGTGCATACACATGAGCCTAACTAGTGGTCAAGGACAATAGGGGGGTGAGGGCATGAATGGCTAGGGGTGGGGGATTGGCATGGGGGGGGGTGAGGACAAATATGTAATACCTTAATCAATAAAGAAATTTTTTAAAAAATGAATTAACATGGTATCCTAAATTATGCTATATACCTGAAACTAATATAAAGTAATATTGAATGCACACTCTAATTGAATTTTCTTTTAAATCTTAAATGGTATCCTAAAAAATATTTGACTCATAAAGAGAGAAGTAAAAGGGGAAAAGAAGAAAAAAAGATATGAAACATTGAGAAAACAAATAGCAAAATGGCTACTCATGAATACAACCATATTACAACTGCATTAAATATAAATGGACTAAACACAGAGACTGACAAACTGGATAAAAACAGACCCAACTATACACTGTCTATAAAAGACACACCATAATCCAAAAGGGGTGGTGGGGCAGGGACTGGCTGCAGGGGGCCAATGGGGAGAAAAAGGGAACATATGTAATACCTTCAACAATAAATAATTATCTTTTAAAAAACACAAAGTGAAAGGATGGAAAAAGATATAGCATACAAACAATAACCCTAAAAGAATATAAGTGATTATATTACTATCAGCTGAAATAGACTTTAAGACAAAAAAATATTAATAGACAATAAGATATTTCCTTAATAATTAAAAGCTCAATATATGAAAAAGATACAATTTTAAATGTATACATAACAAACAGCAAACCCCCCCCAAAATAGGAAAACAGACCATTCAACATTAAGTTAGATATACTTATTAAGCCATTCTCAATAACTGACAGAATGACTAGACAGAAAGCCAGCAAGGATATAAGACTTTAACAACAGTATCTAGCCATTTACAACAGCTACGTGGAAGGTGTTATGCTAAGTGAAATAAGCCACACAAAGAAAGACAAACACTAAGTAATATCACTTTACTATGGAACCTAAATTAAAAGAGAAACCCATAGAAACAGAGTAGAGAGTGGTTGCCAGGGACTTGGGAGTCAAGATAACGAGAAATTGGTAAAGGGGTACAAAAGTTCATCTATAACATGAATAAGGTCTGAAGAACTAATGTAGGATATGATGACTATAGTTGATAACACTGCATTGTGTGCCTGAACTTGACATTTGCTAAGAAAGAACTTAATAGTGTCCTGAACAAAAGGCGATGCATGTGTTAATTAACTAAGTGGGAGGCATTCTTTCACAATGTGTGTGCATATCAAATCCTCACAACATACACTTTCACAATAGTGGAAAGTTTGTCAATTACGTTATCTAATTACGTATACTAATTACGTATACTAATAAAAGGATAATATGCTAATTGGACTGGGAGACCTTCCGACCATCCTTTGGGACAAAGTCATGGTGGTGGGGCTGAGGCAGAGGCAGTTAGGGGTGATCAGGCCAGCAGGAGAAGGCAGTTGGAGGCGATCAGGCTGGCACGGGAGGGCAGCTGTGGGTGAGCAGGCCAGCAGAGAGGGCAGTTGGGTGTGAGCAGGCCAGCGGGGGGAGGAGGTAAGGTGAAGTTGGGGGCTAGCAGGGGGTGGTCAGTTGGGGGCGAGCAGGGCAGCAGGGGGTGGCAGTTGGGAGTGAGCAGAGTGACAAGGGGGCAGTTGGGGGGCAAGCATACTGGCAGAGGGTGGCAGTTGGGGGTAATCAGGCTGGCAGGGGGGTAAGTTGGGAGCGATCAGGATGGCGGGGGGGGGGGGCAGTTAGAGGTGATCAGGCAAACAGACAGATGAGTGGTTAGAAGCCAGTGGTTCTAGATTATGAGAGGGATGTTCAAGATTAGAGAGGGTGCAGAAAGAACCAAGATGGCGACATAGGGCAGACACCCGAATGCAGCCTACCACAAGTTTGAATTTAGAACTGAAAAACAGGGGAAACATCACCCTGAAGCACCAGACGGCTGGCTGAGGGGAAGCTCTACCATCTGGGAAGGAGAGAGAAGGCGCGCTAAATCTCAGGAACTATGAAGGTACGAAAAACTGTGCGCGCAGAGTTCGCTGCCGGCTTGCTTGCAGAGCACTGAGAGGGCAGGCCGAGTTTGCTACCGGCTTACTCCCTGCGCAGAGAGGGCGAACAGCTAATGCGCGGCTGGCTTTCTTGTTCCGGAGGAAAACAGAACCACCCTATTGCGCTGATAAACGGCCCCAGACAGGGAGAGGTCAGACTGTCGGGAAGTGGGCAGAGAGCTCTCGGAGGTGTGTGAAGCCAGTGGCCATTACTGCAGGACTCAGAAACCAGACCCTCGTAGGGAGGGGCTGAATAAAGCTTGTCTGCACCACCCGAGACTCCGCCCCATCCAAGCGGAGCACAGAAGCCCTTCCAGTGGCTAGCTTCCTCATTCGTTGCCAATAGGACTCTCTGAGGGAGGGGCAGACAGGAATCTAAAGCTTATCTGTGCCTATACCAAAGAGGTGCACGCACCTGCAACCAATTGTGCGGGATTCAACAAAGCTTGTCTGTGCCACCCTGAGACTCCGCCCATCCAAGCAGAATATAGAAACCCTCCTAGCTGAGACCCTTCTGAGCCTGATAGCCAATTGGCTTTGGAGACCAACAACAAGCAAGGCTTAACAACAAGACTGCACACACATCCCACAAAGGGCTACACCAAGACTGTCCACCTCAGGTAACTGGAAGGCTGACTCACTGAACCATATAGGACACCTTAGCACACAAAGCCACCCTACCAACTCAGGGAAGCTGTGAAAATGACAAGACAAGGAACTAAATCACAAACAAAAGAAATGGAGGAAAAGAAGAGACTGGATATAGAGTTCAAAACCACGCTTATAAGGTTTTCAAGA